CCCCAAAACCCCAAAACCCCAAAACCCCAAAACCCCTTATATTTTAAAAAAGATTGAATGCTAATTAGAAATTTACGTAGGTGTTTTGTAAGAATGGAATCATCACCCCTTTCTACTTTTAAGCAATACGAAACAGACTCTTACCTGGTAATTCATCTATTGTTTATGCTGTAGTTTGAGTCAACAGGTAAGGTCTTGCAAGTCAATCAGCTTGACAGTGGTAAATATGAAGTAAGTCTGGTACTTCTGTGTGCCATGCATAATTGTTCCAATACTCTGCATGCTGATATGGTTTAGGTCATTGTGGACAGAACTATCTTCCACCCTCAAGGAGGCGGCCAGCCAAATGACGAAGGAGTCATCAAGTCAGACGATGCTGAGTTCACAGTCGAAGATATCAAGCTCAACGGAGATTACATCTCGCACATTGGGGTATTCTCTGAACAAGGCCAGACTTTCGAGCAAGACCAAGAAGTAAGCCAAGTAATCAACGAAGAACTCAGAAGGAAATACGCTCGTACTCACTCGGCCGGTCATCTCATTGACATGGCCATGGACAAAGTTGGCTTCGGACACCTTGAGCCTGGAAAAGGCTATCATTTCCCGAAAGGAGCCTATGTCGAGTACATCGGAGTTGTGGAAGCAGACAAGCGAGACCAACTCAAGCAGGATCTAAATGCAGCCATCAAAGACATCATTGACAACATGCGCGAAGAAGACTCTTCGGTGGCTAAGGTTCACTCTTACGAAGAAGCCAAAGAAGTCCTCGGCTGCATTCCACCATATCTGCCTGAAGGCAAAAATGTCAGAATCGTAAAACTATGAGAAGACGACAAAGGGTGTCCATGTGGAGGAACCCACGTCAAGCACATCAAAGACATCGAAGGGATAGAAGTGAGCAAGATTCAGAAAAAAAAGAAGAACACTAGAGTCAGTTATTCTGTGGTCGATTGTTAATTATCCTGTTTGAAAATTTGCAAAAGATTCAATTTTATCAAAAAATATTGGGGTTTTGGGGTTTTGGGGTTTTGGGGTTTTGGGG